TGGAGGAGATAGAGGGGTTTGAGCGAGGGAAACGGGTACATGCGGTGGGACAAGGGGGTACAGAGTCTGGTTAGGGCTGTAATGTTGGTGGGTAGTGGTCAGATCAGGTAGTGCCGAATGGATATGGAATTGAGACTCAGAGGTATGGGTAGGGTAGTCAAGATATCAAAAGACGGGTTAAAATGACCAGAGACGTCTATTTTTTGATAGGTGGGTAGTCGTCGGCTGAGCGGCTAATAATGGATTTACCCGCCGGACGTAACGCTATAATTGTTTTAAAATGCTCAGCAACAAGTCGACGTGCGGCCCTTTCGAAACTTGCGGGGGGCGTGGCGCCTGCTGCTCAGTGATCGGCCCAGTGACTGCGGCTGCCGCGGGGTCCGGGCCGGGCCCGGCCCGTGATCAGTGCCGCACCGTCACAGCGGCACTGCGGCATGATCAGTCATTGAGCACTGGGCCCTGAGAGTCAGTAGCGGAGGCTTGACCCTGACACTGTCGCACAGGCCACACGGCGAGACTCTAAGAGAAAAGCCAGCGAGAACCACCGTGCCAGATTGACTCGGAAACCCCAGTGCCACGGTTTAGGATAGGGGACTCTGATGATCATTGGCCAGACGTCGGAACCGATCCTTGCCGTGATTGAACTTCGGAACCGCGAGGCCGAGGGACCATCCGATGATCCAATGCTGTCACGGTTGTTTCCTTCAACTTTGCGGCGCCGAGCAGTCCGCCAGCCACCCTGGCACAGAAAGCGCACCGCGCCGTTTGTGAACTGCAGGAGGCCATGATGGCCATGATTGCAAATTTCTTTGCTCCTCCTTCAAGCGATCAGACACCCGGAAGCCTGCCAGGCAAACTGTGGCACTGCCGGCGGCGGTCTATCGGTGGCCGCTGATTCGGTCAGAGTGCAAAGGCCCAACATGGCCTTGAACATGCAACTTAGTCCTTCATCACAGTCAACACTAATGATCTCCTAGCTTACACACATGTTTCGTCGTCATGGTTGATACAAGTGTATTCATATCTATCTTACTGTACACTCACGGGCGGCAACTGACTTCCTCGGGGCTTACTGCCCGTATGGCATCTAACTTGTCGTCCAGGCTTGCTCTCGGGAGCTTTGCCGACGCGTGCTTGATATTCCCCAAGACCATGCTCCCGTCACTGACTACTTGTACTTTACTGCACATTTCTCGGTCGACCCGGGTAAACGCAGAGTGGCGGAGGAAGAAGCGTCGGGCAAGGAAGGCAGGTCTGTTCGAGTCGATGAGGATGCATTCGATCTTGATGATCGCACTACCCCCTGCCCTGAGCTCGCTGAAAGCAGGCTGCCTCCGCTCTCTCCTCTCCCCTCCTGCGTCATCCACACGCCGGCTCCCTCGCAATCCCTCTTCTTCCTTCCCCGCCGCTCCGTGCTCCACGTTCCTACTCCGAGGATGCTGCTGAGTCCAGAGCTTGACGCAGAAGCCGACGATGGCGCATGTTCCATGGCCGCACTTGTTGTAGATAGAAGACATGGTGGGGTAAGGGCAGGAGGAAGAAGAGAGGCACGAGATTCGAGGAGCAGATGAATAGAGGAAAGGATGCGGACGATTCTTGTGGTGGACAGAAGTAGTCGAAGAGCAGTGAACAGAGGTGCAAATGAATGGAGGAAAGGATGCGGATGGGACGTCGCGGACAGAGAGGTTGCGGGGAGATTGAAAGTAGGGGAATGTTCGGGAAGGGGTCAGTCGAAACCGAGTCATTTCAATTAACCCCTAGGATGGGATCGGACCCCACCCTCTCGTCGCAACACTACCCGATAGTAAAAGGAAGCAGGGGTAGGTAGTGGATTGAGTCGCAGATGCGACCCCAGTAATAAAACCCCAAGAGGTCAGCAGGGGTCACGCGGCAGTCATGGCCCGTGATGGTGGCGACTGAGACGGTGCATGATCGGACCCGGGCCCTCCGAGACACCGGGTGGGCCCGGGGGTACTAGAGGTTCAGCGGCAGTAGTTTCAAGTTAGGAGGGGTGCTCAACACTTTGAGTAACGATGAGGGGTCCGTATGGCCTGTGTGACTCCTCGTTCTGATTTAACTCAACTTTGAGTAAAACAGTTGATAGTGTGAAGGGCCTCAGTACTGATTTTTGACTTAACTTTGAGTAAAGGAAGGGCAGCATCCGACCATGTGACTGACACGGACTGTCAGTGTGACCGGCCGGCCCGGAGTAAACTTGTCGCAGGCGGAATCGGTCCGAGGCTGTAGTAAACCATGGATGAGGGGCCGCGTATCACAGAGGTCACAGAGACTCGTAATCTCGAGATTCCACATCAAGCGATGGGTCGCTGCTGCCATTACCCCACCCCCCTTCTACAATCTTCATTTAGGTCTTAGTAGGGGTACCTAGTTATCTCGAAGGAGTCACAACCACCTCAGGCCATGACTGTCCCATGACCCTCGCCGGGTGTTCCCCTCCCCGTCTTGCTCGTTCTCCTTGTTCTCCTTGTTCTCCTTGTTCTCCTCCACCTTCATCCTCCTCCTCTCATCCTCCTCCTCATTCTCCCCGTCCAACCTGCCTTCCCCGTCCTCCCTGTCCTGTCCGTCTACCCCACCGTCCTCTCGTTCACCTTGACCATCCCTTGTTCCTCGTGCCTCCCTTCTTCCTCCTGCCCTTACCCCACCATGTCTTCTATCTACAACAAGTGCGGCCATGGAACATGCGCCATCGTCGGCTTCTGCGTCAAGCTCTGGACTCAGCAGCATCCTCGGAGTAGGAACGTGGAGCACGGAGCGGCGGGGAAGGAAGAAGAGGGATTGCGAGGGAGCCGGCGTGTGGATGACGCAGGAGGGGAGAGGAGAGAGCGGAGGCAGCCTGCTTTCAGCGAGCTCAGGGCAGGAAGCTGCGGGGTCGACCGAGAAATGTGCAGTAAAGTACAGGTAGTCAGCGACGGGTGCATGGTCTTGGGGAATATCAAGCACGCGTCGGCAAAGCTCCCGAGAGCAAGCCTGGACGACAAGTTAGATGCCATACGGGCAGTAAGCCCCGAGTTGCCGCCCGTGAGTGTACAGTGAGATAGATATGAATAACCATGAAGACGAAGCATGTGTGTAAGCTAGGAGATGATTTATGACCATGGTTAAAGATGGAAATTTCGTCTTTCTCTGTGTCTCCCTGTGCCCCACCATCGCAGCACGTGAGAGATGGAGCAGGTACGAGAGATTCTTCGTGGCCTGTGACAGTCACTTGTCCCTTCCTTCTCAGGTCACAGGCACTTGTCCCTTCCTTCTCAGACCTTCCTGTCCTCCAACCCATCGAGAATTCACGGGAAATTCTTTCGATTCTGCCCGATCGTGCAAAATTCTTGCTGCCTCCTGCACCTCAACCTGTCCTGCATGCCGCATCTGAAACGATGTCCCATCGATTGCTCTTGCGAGTTTTTCATCTCCATCCCCTCCACAAAAGGACTATTTAGGTCTTTTTACTGCAAAATCCCATCATCTTCACACTCTAATCGTTCCAGCTCACTTGGCGGAGCCCTCAAGGCGAGCAAGACATCTCTTGATGATCTCGGGATCATCGCAGGCGTCGTAGTAGGAGCGCTGGAAGCAGAGGATGAGACAAAGAAGACAGAGGAGTGGGAGGAGCGAGGATGGGAAGAGAAGCGGAGCTGGTGAGCGAGAGGGCAAGAGAACTGAAGGAGGAGGATGGCTATAGGGAAGGGAGGAGATGGGGATGGGGCACAAGGAGACATTCTTACCATCTCCATGACATCATCGTAGGAGCCAGCGAGGAAGGGAACGCGCTGGTGAACCTTCTGGGGGACGAGATCCTGCGTGACAGTGATCAGCCGACCATACCAAAGAGAAAAACAGAGGAATGTGTTTGATGACACATGAGGAGGGGATAAATAGGAAATAGAGGAGGAGGAGGTGGAAGAGGAGGAGGAAATAGAGGAGGAGGAGGAAGAAGAATACGAGAAGACGGAAACAAGGAAGAGGATGGGGAGGGCTTACCATGATGCGGGTCTTGCCGGTCAAGGAGAGACCGCCAGCCTGCTCCATGAGGAAGGACATGGGGGCAGCCTCGTAGAGGAGGCGGAGCTTGCCATCCTTGTTCTGCAGCAAGGATCAGTGAGAGCTAGCACAAGGTAGCAGAACCAAGGAAGAGGAGCAAGAGGCAGTGAGAGGAGGCAGGGGGAGAGTGAGGATTGAAGCAGGAAGAGCCGTGAGGACACGAACCTTCTTGTCGGCGGGGTATCCGAAGATTCCTCCGTAAAGGAGAGTGCGGTGGACGTCACCAACCTGAAACGTTCCCACAGTGTCAGCAACCTCAACGGAGAAGGCAGAGAAGGTGAGGAGCGAGTGGAGAGGAAGTGGGGTGGGAGGAAAGAAGGAGTATGAGAGGGAGACCATGGATCCGATGTAGCGGGAGGAGTACTTGGCCTTGGTCTGTCCCTGGCCAGTCTGGATGGCAGTGACGTAATCCTGCGGGACACGGTAAGTGAGGGAAACAACGAGGAGGAGAGAGGAAGGAGAAGAAGTGAGAGCAGGTGAAGTGGAGTGCAGAGGGGAGGAGCGGAGGACGGGAGGTAAGAGAGCGAGCAGCGCGTCCTAGAGCAGACCTGGAGGGGCTTGTCCCAGTCCCATCGGTTGGCCTCGTTCATCGAGTAGATCTTGCCGCGCTTGGGGAGCTGAATGTTGGGGTGGGTGAGGACGAACTCGCCGATGGAGCGATCGTAGGTGAAGCCTACTGTGCGTCAGCTGCCTCCTCTTCCCCTCTGCCATCCTCACCGTTGACTCCAGCTCCGATGGTGAAGACGAACATGCAGGAGGAGGAGTAGAGGCAGTAGCCGGAGGCCACGAGCGCATCACCCTGTTGCAATATGAGGACGCTGAACGTTGGAGGTAGTGGTGAGGGAGAAGGAGAGGAGGGAGGAGAATGAGAATATAATCACCGGCTGGAGGGTGTTCAAGAGGCAGGAGCCCTCAACGCTGTCATCTGCTTTCGTCTCAGTCGCCTCGCAATCTCTCGCCTCCTCTGCCCTCACCATTGACCATGCAGTTCTCCATGCTCTCGGCCTCCTCGTAGACGCCGAAGATGGTGCCGGTGGGGATGTTGGCATCGACGTTGGAGGAGCCGTCGAGGGGATCGAACACGGTGACGTACTTGCTGCCGATGTCGACGGTGACGTCCTGGTACTTGCCCTCACCTCCCGGGACTTTGTAGGCATCCTTGTTGAACACGGGGACATCCTCCTCCTCGGAAGCGATGATGCCAACCTTGCCGGTGAAGCGCAGGGCGCGCTTGAGCACGTCGTTGGTGACGACATCGAGCTTCTTCTGCTCCTCTCCCTGGACGTTGATCGATCCTCCTCCGTTAGCATACCCGACCTGCGATGCCCATGTCAGTCTATCGAAGCTAGCGCGAGCTTCTCTCCCACCATTCCGGTGATGGTGGCGCGGTCAACCAAGCTGGAGATGGTCTTGCAAGCCTGAAACAAGCAGGGATGAGAATGAGCCTTGCAAGAGAGCGAGCGAGGAGGAGGGCGTGGGGTGGAGCGGGTGGAGGCAGCGGACAGAAGAAGGTGTGGAGGAAACTGATGGGAGCATCGAACCTGCTGGATGCCGCTGATGAGAGACTCGAGATCGCGGAGCTCGGGGTTGGCGCGGGAAACCTCCATCATGTAGCGCGTGAGGGTGATGCCAGTCTGCTCGCAGACCTCGTCGAAGACGGGAGCGCGAACAGTCCTCTCCTTGATGTTTGCCATCATGACCGGGGAGGCGCGAGGGACTCTGACGGCAGCAGAGCGAGACTGCGACAGACGGAGGGGCCTGGGGAGAAAGTTAAGTTCAGAGACAAGGAGGATTATCAATAAGAGGAGCAGCAGAGGAGACGACACGGAGCACAAGAACAAAAACAAAGGCGAAGGCTCATGAAACGCAGGGGGTCGCAGGAGTGAGCATAGACAGCTACGAGCAGAGAAAGCCGTCAGAGACTTCTTGCTGTGAAGGGATAGAGTAGATATCAGGAGCTCAACGCAACAGCAGGCAGCTCATTCTTGCAACCCAATGCAGGGGGCCACTCTTGTTACAACCATTGCCCCACCATTCCTGGCTAGCAGCATGGCAAAGAGGGTAACGGATGAGGGAGGAGGAGGGAAGTGCATGAGCGCGACGTTTCTGTACCTCCTGGAGAGAGAGACAGGGGAAGGAGCCATGAACGCCGACGCGCATGTGGCGGCGACAGCGAGGAGAACTGCGCGCATGATGGGGGTCGCGCTATTGGGAGCCTGAGGGTGGGGGTTATAAGCAGAATTGATGAGGGTGGTGAAGCCCGCATAATGGTACCATGAATAATTAGTCTAATAAATAATTGAGAAATTTAGTACTAGTATCAGTAAAAGTAGCTTAATAGATTGGGGGATGATATGGACCCCCTAGTTTCATGTAGCACCGGCGTAGGTGAAACAAGTGGGGTAGCCTGTGCAAGTCGGGGTAGGGGTTGAAGGAAAGGAGGTGGGTAGTTTAGTACCAGGAAGGATTGAATTAAACCGGTACTTTTCCATCAGAATGGGGGCTGAGGACAGAGAGGGGGTAGGGTAGTACCATGCTAGGAAGATCTCCGTGTTGGGTATATGAGCACTAAGACCAAGAAGCCAACATATGATGTCGGTGGGGTCGTATTGTTCCAAGGTGGGGTACTTGAAGGGTAAATATGGGGTACTGATCATAAATGTGGGTGAACATTTAGTACATCTCAAAGGGGTGGGGTAGTCAATTTTAAAAGTTGAATAATAGTTTTACCTCAACCCCTGCAATTGCCCCACCCCTACCCTCTCTATCCCTCTTTCTACACCACCCATCCACATCCACCCCTAATACCCCTTCCTCCCTATGATACCCACCCTATATCGTAAAAGTGTGTACCCCAACCACACCATCTCCTTCTTTTTACCCCCTCATATTCCCTTGACAACAAGACACGGTTACAAAGGTACCCCTACCCTCATTACCACCCACCTTCTTGTATTGATCTTATTACTATCCACCCCACCTCGTTACACCACCCATCCCTCCTTACATCCACCCTACACCTCCCTGACCCTTGCGGTACCCCTGCATCCCCACCACCAGCCCTCAACATACCCCCTTGTACCATCACAAGTTTTGTTACCCCAAAGTCAAGTACCCCCACCATACTTTTTCCCACTATATACCCCATGTTTATTGTTCATTACTCTGCTTTCTTCCCACCCCCACTCCCCTATCATTAGCTGTGTCGCGATGGGTCATAACTAGTCACTACCCCCACCCCCCCAAGTCAAGAGCCCCGAAATGTAGCTCATCCCCCTCATCTTTACGTCATCCCCCTCATTCCCATCTTTTTCACTTATCAGTATTGATGTTCGGGCCTGCCTCAGTCTCTTCCGGCTGCTCGCTCGACCGCTCCTCCCTCCCTCCTTCCTTCCCCCCCCCTTCCCCCCCTCCCTCCTCCCTCTTTCCTTCTCCTTCATGACCCCCCCTTCCTGAGAGCTCTCGGTGTTACAAGACGTCAGGGCCCTTGCCCCCACTCCCTGCCTTCGCTTTCTTCTCTTAAACTCTCCTCCTCGCTTCTGCCGCCCATAATCAGCCCGTCCATGGACTAACGTTGAGTGAGATGGCAGCAGCATGTATGGAACGAGTGAGCTTCCTCGGAACTGGGTCAGGATCCGGGGAGGGAGGGAGGAGGGGGTTCTCCTCCCTGGTCCTCACTACCAAGAAGGGGTCCCTGGTCATGGTGGACTGCGGCGAGGGGACGCAACTGCAGATGAGGAGGACGTATTTTCAAGGTCCTCCAGGAACAAAGTGCATCCCAGCTCTGAAGATGAGCAGAGTTCGCGCCGTTCTGATCACACACCTCCATGGCGACCACTGCTTCGGCCTCTTCGGGCTGCTGACCACCATCAGTATGCAGAGGATGAGGAGGAGGCTCGTCCTGGTGGGGCCAACAGGGCTGGAGAAGCTGGTTACCTCTGTCCTCAGCGTCTCTGGGAACTCCGACGAGGAGCTCGCCCTGAGGTTCATAGAGCTGGACCCGACGGTCCCGCATGAGCTCGAGCTCGAGCTGGAGGGGGAGGAGGGGAAGGAGGGGCTCGCAGTGCACGCGACTCCTCTGCAACACAGCATGCCTGCTCTGGGGTACATCCTGCTGGAGAAGGAGCAGCCAAGAGAATTGGACGCGAGGAAGGCGATGGGGATGGGAGCCAAGGGGAAGGAGCTGGGGCTGCTCAGGGCTGGGCAGGACGTGACGGTCAACGACATGCTGATCCGAAGTGAGGACGTGCTCCTTCCTGCGCCGCGGAGGTAGAGCGCCGCCCACTGTCTGCTCCTGCTGTCTTCTCCTGATGTTCCTCGTCTCTCTATCCTTCTCCTCCTCCTCTTTCTCCTCCTGTATCTGCTTCTGTCCCTGTCCCTGCTCATTCCCTTCAAATACTCCCCGTCTCCATCCTACTCCCTCGTTTCCTTCCTCCCAACCTCTGGTTTCTCCCCCTTCTCCTCCCCGGCTTCCAACACCGCCGTCCCCTTCCCTTGACCTCGAGCATGGCAGGAGAATGATTGCCGTCCTTCAAGACACGTGCGGGTCCGAGGAGGCGCTAGAGTTCCTGCGGCAGAGGAGGAGAGACTTCGACTTTCCCGTCCTCATCCACGAGGCTACCCACGAGGCAGCCCTGCGCGAGCTGAGCCTGAGCTGGGGTCACTCGACCTCGGAGATGGCAGGAGAGTTTGCGGGGCGTTGTGGGGCGCAGCAGCTGGTCTTGACGCACTTCTCGCCCCGATACTCGTCCTGTCCCATGAGGGAGTTTCTGCGATCCGGCGGCGAGGAGGAGGAGGAGGAGGAGAAGAAGAAGCAAGGAGAGGAGGGGCAGGTGATAGATGAGAAGAGCACAAGGAAGCTTGCGGAGGAGGCGCTTGCAGCGGCGCTGCGGTGCAGGGAAGAAGGAGGGAGTTTCGGCGTGCTGTGCGCAGAGGATTTGATGAGCCTGAGCGGGAGAGACTTTTCGGAAGTTTTAATAGATGAGAGATGAGAAGAAGCAGAGAAGAAGAAGAGAGGAGAGGAAGGGGGGAGGATGGGGAGAGGAACGGGGGAGGAGGTCTATTTCTTTTTGCGATCCTCGTCCTTCTCTTGCGAGCTCT